CTGCCGCCGGTGCCCCCGATCGCGCGAACCGCACGGTGCCGGGCGGGAGCGCCCGGGGCGCCGTCTCTGCGCGCGCCGCACTTTCCCACGGCACCGACGCGGGGCATCCCCGCGTGCACTGGAGTGTCGTCATCCCGCGAGTACTCGCGCGCAGCAGTCCCACGTGTGCACTCGTCCCTGCGTACTCGCGTGCGGTCGCGTGCACTTGGGTGTAGTTGTGCCACTTGTACTGTGTGGTCGTCCTTGTGTGTAGTAATGCTGTGCGCACTTGTGCAGTTGTCCTGTGTGTGGTTGTTCTGTATGTACTTGTGTGCAGTCACCCTCGTAAACTTGTGTGTGGTTGCCCCACGTGCACCGGTGTGCAGTCATCCTCATGTACTTGTGTGTAGTGTTTCCACGTGTACTGTGTGTAGTTACCCTGTGTGCTTGTGTGCGGTCACCCTCGTGAACTTGTGTGGTCATACTCCTGTACTTTGTGTGCAGTCACCCTTGTGTACTTTTGTGTGGACATCCTCATATACCTGTGTGTAGTCTCACAGTTCCACATCTTCAAAGGGGTGTCTGTAGGATCAGCCCCAAGCTGGCGGAGAGAGGGTGCTGGACAAGGTTTGGATTAATGTTTCGCCTCTAAATCTGAGTGGTGTGGAAGGAATTGTCTTGGCTTTCCACAGCTTGAGTATCTCTGTTTGTAGCTAAACGCTCACAGGTCTTTTCCCTTTCAAAACAGTATGGCACAGAAGTTTTGAATTTTGAGCTACACAGCTGCTAAACCCAGGGGATGAAAGGAGTGATTTTCCAGTATTGATAGTCGCCTTGGCTGCTGGCGGTGTGGCTCAGCCTCACACTCCAGCTTAGATATTTCTGCTATGTTAGTCACACCTCCGTGTTAGCCACATCTCCACTTCCAGCTTTTTGCTGGTTAATTGGAGGTAAGAGTCTTGTGGATTTGCCCTCCTGGTCTGGCTTTGAACTGCATTCCTTAGATCTTGGCATTACATGGGCTTGCCACTGGTGCCGGGCTTCTCCTTGCTCTTCTTTGTAGGACTTTGGCTTTCTTTGTAGGGCCTTGAGCCAAAAGTTCAAACCAGAAGAAGCCCCCGTGGGACTCAGCTAGGAATCACAGCTGAGCACTTAAAATTGTCCTTGGCAAAACTCGTCAAGCTGAAACAGTCTAAACAGGTTTTAGGGTCAGCACATTCATTCTCAATTTCGTCAAATGTGGGCTCAGAAAGTGCTCAGGGAGTATGTCTAGTCAGGCAGTGGATGGGGTGCCTGGTGTGGTAGGAGGTTGTGGGAGGAGGGGCATGGCTGAGTGCTGAGTGCTGGGTACTGAGCGGGGCCTGCAGCAGGGGTTGGTAGAAGCTATAGGGAACACTTCTCCCCTCCTTGGTGCGTGGAGGATGGCACACTGAAGCATCACTCGCACTCCTTTAGGTTGAGCCTTGACATAGCAGAAGTGGACGAGTGGTCATTTCCCTGGGTGGAGTGTGTCCGCCTTGAATTACAGCTCTCTTGTGTTGGGGCTGCGTTGGTGGTCACTGGCGTGGAGTGGCAGGATAGAGCTGTGAGGCTCCTAGCACGGAGCTTGGGGAGAAGCTATTACTTTGAGAGCCTCAAAGGTCTGAGTGTTTTGGTGGTGTTTGGTGGCAGGGGCTGAGTGAGGTCAGGAAGGTGAGGCTTCCCTGGGGGAAAGGCGGCAGAGAGGGGCCTGGGAAGGCTGCGGCGTGCAGCATAGGGAGGGATGCATGACGTTGAGGAAGTCTTGGGTGAATGGTGGGAAGCCCGTGTAATGCTCACAGCCAGTGACCGTTGGTGCATCCTATAGCTCAGTGGTCAGTGAACTTAGGAAAAGGTTTCTGGCCTGTGGAGCAGTCAGCTGCGTGGACTGGACCGTGCCAGTTTCATTGTTGGGTTTACTTTGAGTCTGCGTGTCAATCTGTTAGCTATTCCTCCACCCTCTGCCTCCCTGGTTTTCCACACTGTTCTACACTGACTCTTGCCCCCACCTGTCTGGAAGTGGTGCAGAATCTGGTCTCCAGGTTCCCATGCAGTGCATCCTGGGAACCTCATTCTTCCTCGGACCAAAGTCTGCCGCTTCCCTGTCCCTGGGCTGGGGCTGCCACTTGAGGTGGTCAGCATTTCTGTTTTGGTCTTCCTCTTGTTTTTGCCCCTGCCAAGACCTGTCTGGTCATCCCTGTTCTGTCACATCTTCCTTCTATTCATTTCCCCCAGCACTGGACTTTGAACTCAAGGCCTTCCTCGTGCCCAGTAGATACTCAACACCACGGTACATCCTCAGCCCTGAGTTTTGCTCATTATTATTATTATTTTGCCAGTCGTGGGGCTTGAACTCTGGGCCTGGGTGCTTCCCTCAGCTCTTCTTCTCAAGGCAAGTGCTCTACCACTTGAACTATAGCGCCACATCTGGTTTTCTGGTGGCTTATTGGAGATAAGAGTCTCATGGACTTTCTTGCCCCGGCTGGCTTTGAACCATGATCCTCAGATCTCAGCCTCCTGAGTAGCTAGGATTACAGGCGTGAGCCACCGGCACCCGGCTGCTCATTATTTTTTAGATGGGGGTCTCACTTCCTGTCTGGGCACATACCTTGGTGTGTCCCACCCATGTTAGTGATAGCTGGCATAGCAGGTGAGTGCCGCCGCATCGTGCTCACCCTTGAGGAGAGGCGGTGCTAGCTTGCTTCCTGCTGGAGCTGGCTTTGAACTGTCCTCTCAGCCGTCGCAGCCTGCCAGCTGGCTCGGGCCACAGGTGGGAGCCACTGTGGCCTAGGTTGCATCTTCCTCTTGTCACTACAGACACTCGCTTACAGAAAAAGCTAGAAGTGGTGTTGTGGCTCAAGTGGTAGAACATTAACCTTGAACCAAAAGGAGCTCAGGGACAGTGCCCAGGCCAAGAGATTAAGCCCCAGGACTGGCAAAAAAAAGTTTTGCTTTTTAAAAAATTGTCCTCAAAAGTTCTGCTGGCATATTACTCAGAGTAAAAAGTTTTTAGGACATAATGGTGCTTCCCCCCCCCCCCCCCCGTCCTGAGTGTGAACTCTGGGGCCTGAGCACTGTCCCTGAGCTGCCGTTCACTTAAGGCTAGCATTCCACCACTGAGCCACATTCTCAACCCCCACGTGGTACATTTTTTTATAAAACCTTCTCTTTCTTTCCAGTACTGGTCTGTGTAAGTCAGGAAGGTGATCAGTGCTTTTGTTTTTTCAGGTTATTAGGCTTCTTAAAGCTGGGAAGGCCAAGGAAGTCTCCTATAATGCTTTAGCCTCACACATAATCTCAGAGGATGGGGACAGCCCGGAGGTTGGAGAAGCCCGGGAAGTCTTTGACTTGCCTGTTGTAAAGGTGAGTAGAGAATCTCATTGCTCATCGTAGTGCATCTTGAGAGCAACAGAGCTGCCCTTCTTTCCAGGCTTGCTAAGGCCTGCGGGCGTGGAAGGTGGCTGGGTGAATAATGCCCTCCCACTCTGGTGGCCTCTTGGGCTGCCTTCACCATGTAGCAGGGCTGCTGTTGACATCATTAGGGCTCCCGAGTCTCCTGGCTAGCGTCCTGTCCAGGAAGGCTGTGTTGATGGAAGTCCTCCGGGTATCTGGGTCATAGTAGGAAAGGTGTGTGTGATTCCAAAAGCCTCTCGGGGCAGCTGCTCTCCTTCCCCACGGGGGTAAGTGGCTCTGGTTTTCAGCTAGACCAGCAGAAGGGAGTCCTGTCCCTCATTAACAGTGCTAGTATTAACTACTCTGACAAGGGTTATAGCCACTATAAGTCTTACTGTCTTACTATACACCTCTTGGCCACAGAGTTTATTATGAAAAGTGGGGGCTTAGGCTGGTGGATAAATCATTTAGATTTTGTTGGTTTACATACTCTGATACTGTGTTATGGCCAGCAAATATCTACTGTTAAATTTGTGTGTGTGTACGTGCATGCATGTGTGAGTGTGCCAGTAGTGGGGCTTGAACTCAGGGCCTGAACTCTGTCCCTTGGTTTTCTTGCTGGCTCTCTGCCACTTGAGCTACATCTTTAATTCTGTTTTTGTGTTGATTAATTGGAGATAAGAGTCTCTCAGATTTGTGTGCCCAGGCCAGCTTTGTAGCATGCCTCTCAGTCCTCCGCTTACTGTACACCTAGTATTACAGGTGGTAGCCACTAGTCCCTGGCCAGAGGTTTATTTTTAAGGTGTGTCAGTTTCATAATGATCTTCAGTTTTATTTCTGATTTTCTCTTGTATATGTTTCTTTTTTGGGGGGGGGGTCCGGTCGTGGGGCCTGAACTCTGGGCCAGGGCGCTGTCCCTCAGCTCTTCAGCTCAAGGCTAGTGCTCTACCACTTGAGCCACAGCGCCACTTCCGGCTTTTTTCTTTTTGCTTATGTGGTGCTGAGGAATCGAACCCAGGGCCTCAGGCATGCAAGGCAAGCGCTCTACCACTGAGCCCTCTTCCCAGCCCTTGTATATGTTTCTTATAAAATAGTTCTGTACTCCTACTATTTTTCACCATGCTGTTGCATGCTCTGCATTAATACTAACAGGAGTTAGGGAGGGTTCCCATGGAGTACGATGTGCAGCTGAGACGCTGTCCTGCTGCTGGGAAGTGAGGACTTCACTGTTGTCTGGGGTCTGGGATTGCTTTGCAGCTTGCAGACATGAAGTGGGCCTGTCTCAGGAGGAGGATTAGATGGTGAGCTGGAGTGAGCAGTGGGACTACAGTGGTCCTACCTTTTCGCACTAACTAGCTCATGAGTTTCAGCGTGGCCATTCCAGACTCATGCTGCTGTGTCTTTCTGTGACCTGATGGTCACAGGTTCCTGGTCACTTCACCAAATGCCACTTCGTGAGACTTGCCAGGGCACATCTTCCTTTGTGTATCCCTGTCCTTGCCCTTCCTACTTCCTCTCAGACCATGGCCTGGAGCTGCATTTACATTAAAGTGAAAGATAAACCTCATGAACAGAACTTGGGGCCTAGACCACCTAGAGCACTGGTTCTTAAAACTTGACCTCAACACTCTCCTATGTTTTTTTTTCTTTAAAAATCAGTCACGGGGTCTGAACTCTGTCCCTCAGCTCTTCAGCTCAAGGCTAGAGCTCTACCAATTGAGCTACATATAGCACCACTTCTGGCTTTTTCTGCTTATGTGGTGCTGAGGAATCGAACCCAGGGCCTCATGCATGCAAGGCAAGCGCTCTACCACTGAGCCTCCTTCCCAGCCCCAACACTCTCCTATTTTATGTGAGCACTAGGGTTTGAACTAAGGGCTTGGGCACTGTCACTTAACTTTTTTGCTGAAGGCTGGTACCTACCATTTGAGCCACAGCTCCCCTTCAGCCAAGTTTTTGATGGTACCAGGAATTGAATTTAGGGCCTTGTGCTTGTTAGGAAGACACTCTACCACTTGAGTCACATCTCCAGCCCCAGGAGTAATTTTAATGAATCTGTGAACATGTTGTATCTATGGATAAAGATGGCCTAAGAAGTCTTACTGAAAGTGGATCAACAGTAGGGGTTTGGGGTGGGGAGAAAGCATAGTAAGGGAAGTTATTCTGATTAAAATACATGATCTGAGGATAAAGGTTCAAAGCCAGCCTGAGCAGAAAAGTCTGAGAGAGAGTCTTATCTCCAATTAACCACTCAAAAACCAGAAGTAGAGCTGTGGCTCAAGGTGTAAAGTGTTAGCCTTGAGCAAAAGAGCACAGGGACAGTGCCCAGGCCCTGAGGTCACGCCCCACTGACAAGAAAAAGAAAAAATGTATAATAAATATGCACGTGTGAAATACCACAGCAGAATGTCTTGGTATAGTTAATGTACACAAGAAAATGAATGACAGAAAAGTAAAGCAGCTGAACCATCTCAAATGGTTCTAAATAGAGGGAAGGGGGAAAGAGCAAGAGATGGGCAGCGTGAGGCCTGTGGGGTGCGTGGTATATATGGACAGAAAGCCCAGTACAACTATCTATGCTAGTAAAAATTCTTTAAAGAAGTAATTTTTATGGTTTACAAACATTGTATCATCTGGGCTTTACCAGTGGGGTACCAGTGGTTTCATGCCTGTAGTCCTAGTTACTCAAGAGGAACTGGCCTAGGCGGGCAAATCTGAGAGACTTTCCTTATTAACCAGTAAAAGGCAGAACTAGAGGTTGAGGCCTTTAGTTCAAGCCCCAGTACTGGCACTCACGCCACATGCCTTTTGAGTTGGAACCTCCCTGGGCTCAGGATTGGCCTGAGGGGCTATTCCCAGAGTGGCTGCGGAGTGGGGAGGGGTGTGGGGATTGGGAGGTGGGGGGAGGAGCTGCCCCTCCCCCTGCCCTTGTGAGGTTTGGAGGCAGCAATAACAATAGTCAGGACTTAGACTTTTAGATGCATGTGCACCCCCCTTTTTTTAAAATACAAAAGTGCTTCATTGTAGAATTGGGGTTTCTGGCATGCCACTGACTGGCCCTTGGGTGTGGGGGTGCTTCATGGGGATGCTTCACAGCCAGGACAGCCTCTTCAGTGTTAGAAGTGCCACAGGTACAAGCTCATTTTGATGGTAAATTGAATAGCTTTTGACTTAAGTTCATCTTTTCTTTTTCAGCCTTCTTGGGTGATTTTATCTGTACAGTGTGGAGCTCTGCTGCCGTATCCTTTTTTGGAATGGTAGGATCGGATTGAAGATGGAAGTGACGGTGGTCTGTGTGAAGTCTGGATCATGAATTAGGGCCGGGATCACCTCTGCTCCTGCTCCCCCCTACTTTCTACCCCCTGTCATCTGTTGTGTACCTGATCTTTGTCATTACCTGTGTCAGAACTGCTCTGGCTGGGACCTGGAGGAAGTGTTCCAGGTCTTTACAATGTCTGTCTGTCTGTCTGTCTACTGATTTATCTATTTAAGTAGTTGTACAAAGGAGTTACTCTCAACAAAGTGATACCTAGCTGGACGGTATTTCTATGGTTATGTCTATATAAACCATATCGTGAATGATTTGAAGAGTACACTGAGAAGAGTCTGGTTTTATAGTATACCTTGTCTTTTTTTTTAAATTTATTTTATTTGTGAACATACTGTACAGAGGGGTTACAATTACATGGGCAGGATAATGGCGTACATTTCTTACCAAGCATTGCAGCCTCCTCC